CAGTAGGAGGAGAAAGAGTTGAAATACATTTAGCTCGTGAGGCATCTTGCACACGTTTTCTGTTTCCTTTTGTTCCCTTCTTAATTTCTTTGAAGTGAAAAGAGCAAAAACTTTCAGGTCTGTCCTCTTTATTTTAATATTGATTGTTTTCATTTAAATGATAATTTTTCATGCAAGGTTTTCATTCAGCAGACAAATGCATTCAGATGGGCACACACACTAAAAAGCTTGCCTTCTGTTTCTGTGATTAATTGAGATGTAGAGCGTGATGGGTGTGGAGTAAAAATAGAAAGGCAATTAGTGCAACTAGGCATGAAATACATTGAGATACAAGCAGAATGTCTCCCCAGTTAGTGATCTCTTTCTGGGCTCTTGAGGATTAACATCCCATTAGTAAGTCACTGGAATGGAAATCTTCAGCCTTTGGGGAGACGAGAGCATTAAAAATGGAATTAACTCTAACTGCAAACTGAGTCAGCACAATAGGTCATTAATTCTACTCCTTGGGTATATATCATGCTGAGCTTTGGTGTGTGGGCTTCTGAAATATTAGAAGTGAGTTTATAAAGCATTGCAAGGACTAAATGATGGTTATCTATCATTCCATCCTTCACCCTCACTGCTGATACACTAAGGTCTCTGGTGGTTCAAAACCAGTGTTGAAATACAGACAAAAGTTTTTACTAGAACCAGTGGATATGGACCTTTACTTAGAAAAGCTGTGTATTGTATATTTTGAAAAAATAAATTTCTGTTGCACTTACAGAATATTAATGATTCCTAGTTTGTAAAACGCTGTGTCCTCAACTAATAAAGATAAAAATACCACAATGCCTCAAATAGTATCCTTCTGAAAATTGAGAATTACATCTTTCTGCATGAAGTTGACTTGTTTTGCTTTCTTTAGAAATACCAGTGATATTAAAAATATTTTCAAATAGGGGCACCTGGGTCTTAGTTGGTTGAGTGTGTCTGACTCTTGATTTCAGCTCAGGTCATGGTCTTGGGGTCTTGGGATTGAGTCCCGTGTCCGGGCTCTGAGCTTGGCAGGGAGTCTACTTGAGGATTCTTTCTCCCTCTCCCTCTGTCCGTCTCCCCTCACTCACACGCTCTCTCTCTCTCTTTCTCAAATAAATAAATAAATCTTTAAAAATTGCTTACAAATAAATTTCTAAGTATAGAATATATTGAAATATTGAATATTGAATATTTTCAGGCAACTTATAGTACTCCCTGATTTCTGATAATCTTCTGTTTCTTTTAATCTTCTATATCCTAAGAATTGCTAACAGATAGTATTATCTCCTTTGATCATCTCTGTGTAGCACAGTCATTAACAACTGCCATTTACTGATTGCTTACCCCAGGGTTTCTCACACTTGGCGATACTGACATTTGAGTCCAGATAATTCTTTGTTGTAGGGCTGTCCTGTGCATTATAGGATGTTTAGCAGCATACCTGGCTTCCACCCACTAGATTCCAATAGGTGTATCCCACACTGACCATCAGAAATGTCTCCAAACACTGCCAGTTGTCCCATGATGTCAAAATCTTCCCTGACTGAGAACCACTGGTTTATCCTCTACTAGACATTATTTCACTTGATACTACAGTAACTTCACAAAAATGTGGGACTTTGTGAATTGGAGCCTTGGTAGGAAATAAGACTACACAGTATTGGTCATAGACTTTTTTGAAAGGACTACTTACAACTGCTTAGAGGTGTTGAGGCACCCAGAAAATAGCAATAGTAAGAAGACATTCTCACCCTGAGGGCTGAAAAAGTAAGGAGAGGAAATAATGTTCTGATGTGCTGGGAAAGCTGGAGCCATGGAGAAGCCTCTAGAGGGAAATGAAATCAGGAAGAGACAAAACAATACTATAGCAGAGAGAGCAAAAGGTACCCTGGCTCCTCCTTCCTCCTTAATCCTTTGTCACTAAAAAGTCCTACCAGTAGGTGAGCCCAAATGAAATCCAACCAGCAAAGGACTGAAGTGATGCAACTCCAGGATTTAGCCCTATGGGCTCAGACACAGAAGACAAATAGAATCCATTGGGACAAATGGAGGAAAAAAGAAAAGAAAACAAGAAAAGAAAAAACTGTCCCCAATTTAACATGAAAAACTGAGATTTAAAGAAACAAAGTAATTCACCCAAAGCCAATGCCCTCCATGCACTACTAGTAATCTATAGCTGATTTGCGTAAATGAACGGACATTCAGTGAGACTATGAATTATTCAAGGTGATTGACTTTAGTAGCTGATAGATACAGGACCAGAACCCAATTCTCATTCCTAGTCTGGTGTTCACTTTTTTTGTGTTGACCTTTGAAAGAAATTTAAGAACTCTGTATCCAGCCCATTCTCCCAACAAACAAACATAAGAATGAAAGCTATGTGCTGACCTAAAAAGTCACTTTTTCCTAAAAAGCTTATGGAATTCTAGGTTTCATGTAGAATATTTAAATGGCATATGCTGTTTTTCCAAGCTTTTGGCACATTTCTGTCTTGATTGCAGAAACTCGGCCCCAGCTGGTGCAATGTGTGAGGAGAGGGAGGAGGACTGGACTGAGAACCAGGGGATTTGGGGCCCAGTCTAGCTCTGTCACTCCTAGCCATGCAACCCTTAGCAGGAATAGCAATAATTAAAATTCCAGAAACCATTTCTTACCTTTTGCATTCACCCAGATCTTCACAGTTATTTTCAGGTATCTAATTCGATGGCCATAACTCAAAGAAGGTGTTAGATTTTCATGTTTCACAAATGAAGAGTCAGGCTCAGAAAACACTAGAGTCTCACTGAATATCCCATAGTTGGGAAGTAGACTCAGCTTCACCTTTTCCCACAGAAAACATAGTACACTTTCTCTACCCCATCTTTTAAAGTGATTAATCAATTGATTTACTTTCTGGACAGCTGGTCGGTAGCATCTAATACTTTAAATTTCATCATAAAGGCACGTCTAGATCGAAGTCTAAGAATCTGTGATTTTTGTCTTTGGGTTATAACCAGGGCTATGGTGGAAACCCAATATAGTTAGCACATAGGGATTCCTCATTTCTTCCTTTCTAGGTTTCAGATGAGTGTATTTGCTAACTGACAGCTTTTGAGACAAAAACTGGGGTTTTTAAAGGAATTTTAAAATAAATATATACAGGGAAACAAATCTAAGTGAATTAATACAGCTCCATTTTCTTCCTTTAATCCTGGGTGAATCAGATGTTAGTCATACAGATTCGGACTTCTCCACTAAGATAAAGTGGGTTGACACTCCTGGAAGGTCTGGAAGGTCCTCCTCAGTCCTTTGCCCAAACTGTTCACCTTCTTTGCCTCAAGGTGGGGGCCCAGAAAGTGATACATTTCAGGGCTCCAGACATTGAGCTTCTTGTTCTTAGTCTTGCTCTCTGCCCACTCCATGTTCCACTTTGCAGTATTTTCAAGCTGCCCTTTTTCACCGTTTTCAGCCATTAAATCAGGTGTACAACACCAAAAAATTGACTTGTTTTATTTTTCATAATTGAATATGTCTTTCAAGTTCCTGTTTCACCTAGCTTATTCCAAGTAAGCCTAGAATGTAGGGGTTCTCAGTCCAAGGTAAAGCTGCAGAGAAGGGAAACAAAAGAACAAAGACAAAACTAAAGTATAGATATTTGAAGTCTAAACATAAAAACAGACAAGAAGAGAAAGAAAAGATTGTAAGTTCTACTTTGATACCCTTTGCAGTCAGGCAAAGATATAAAATTCCTTCAAAGAAAACATTTTCACTGATCAAAAATTCTAGCTGCATGATAACATTTTATCTGATATAGATGATTAGGAATTCTTTGGAAAACGGTTTATAATTGTTATGGTGTTCATACACAAGGAAAGGTGGAGGAGCAATATTTTCAGTATTTAGAAGAATAGACTTGAGCTAGATTATCTAGGTACAGATCATGGTGTCATTCCTTTTTACCTATGAGACCTTGGGCAAGTTACTTATCCTCTCTGTGTGTTGGTTTCTTCATTAATATAATCAAGTATAAAGAGAATCTGTCCCAGATGGATTTTTTTTTTTTTATGGTTAAACAAGTTAATATTGACAAAGCATTTAGAACAGCTGTGGACATAGAAATCACTCTACGATGCTAGTTGTCATTGGAAATCCCCTTTCCATCATCCCCACCACCACCATCATCATTATCATCACTGATTTGTATTACGTAGGGACTCAATCTAATGTTCCCATTCTTTTAGAGTATAATTGCATAGCCACCTAATCCATAAGTAACTAAATTACAGAGCATCACCATTTAGAATAGTTTAACCAAAGAAATAGTAACATATGTAGGAATAATGTGCATTTATTTGTACTTTGGAACATACAAACTTACTCAGAACTTTCAATTCTGAGACTGGGCCACTGTTTCTCTCTACTTGATTGTATACTTAATGTATAGAAAGGTTTATTCATAGTGACTCTACTTGGTTTGGTGTTATGATACCGAGTATATTTTCCCAAGATTTTAGGTTAGAGACTACCGACAAAGAAATATTCCAGGAGTCAGAATTAGACGTAAATTATATGCTACAGAGGTGTCTTCTTATTACCAGAAGTCAGGCCAGAGTCTCTAAAATCACATTAGGGTACTGTTTTTGTGGGTATTGAGTTTCACCCTTGAGAGAATTAAAAGAGCTGACAATGACGTATAATAAATCTTCCTCTGACCCAAACATATTTAGTGATTAAACTTCCCAGGAATCCCAGTTCTGTCAGCTTAAATAAGTAGAAAACTTACATTTTTACTCCTTTTTCACTTTCCATTTGGAGAAGTAGATAAAAATAATTACTATATTTGTCTGTTTAATTCATTTAGAGTTAATGCCTTATTTACATGCTTGGAATTTTGATTTGAGATGAAAAGGAAACAGGAAAAGGGTGAGCCGTTTTTTTATATACAGGAGCAACTGGCTCTCTATTTTTTAATTTTTATCTATTTTCTTTGTCTCAATCCCCAGCCTCTGAGCCCAACTTGAAGGTGCGGTCCAGGTTAAAACAGAAAGTGGCAGAGAGGAGAAGCAGCCCCTTACTCAGGCGGAAGGATGGAAATGTTGTCACTTCATTCAAGAAGCGAATGTTTGAGGTGACAGGTAATTGAGGACTGTGCAGACATACACTAAGAAAAAAAAAAATGCCGGTAGGAGGAATGAAAATAAATAGCATAGAACAAATATGGCTGTTGCGTATTAAAAGTTATTTTGAGGAGAAACATGTCTTGAAAGGAAATTATATTGAAAACTCACAAGTAGCTCAGTAAACCTTGCCATGCATTCACCAACTGTGTTAAACAGGAAATGAATGAAAAACAGAACTATGTGTCAATCTAGGCATAACTAGGGAACGCCAAAGCTCACCTTCATCTTTTCAGAAACAGGCAGTCCGTTTCAGGAATGCCAACCAGAAGAGTATAGCTTTTAATGAAATTTGATCAGAAATGAGCAGAGGGAGGTCCAAGAAGAACGCTTCCCCCATACTCAGACACGAATGTACAAAATACATCTGGGAAAATTAAACTATGTGGAACAGCAAAACCTTGACTTTTCAACAAATTTACAGAACTCATAAATGATTTTATGTGTTTACTAGTGAACTGGGACTTATGGCAGGAGGGGGATATATTGCCTTTTAGGAAGGGAAAGAAACTGTCATTTTCACTAGTCTCCAATGGAAGCGTTCTTATTTTTTTAGCTGCCTGGTTAGTGGTGGGGTGAACAGGTTAGGAAATTCAACCTGATGTCTTACAAAGCTTTCTGGTCCCAGTTGTACTTGGTCTGAAATTAGAGAAGACCTAGGGATACAAGAACCAAAAAGGCTAGCCAAAATAATAATACTGACTACTGTTTATTGAGTACCTACTTGGAGCTATATGCATTGTATTTGGTCATTTCCTTCAGTTACATTCATGGAGAAGTGGTAATCTGCAACCATTTTTTTTCCATTTTCAAGGAAGATTGTGCTTAAGCCAGTGTAGTCAGTTGCTCTCATTTCTCCAAGATCAGGTCTTATCCTTAACAGGTAAGGGTAATAATTTTTCAAAATGATTTGTTTTCTGTATCTCCTGTGGCCATGAGAGTGCCTGCTTTGGGGAGACAATAGGGAAAAGATTGTGGAGGTAGGAGTGGGAAAGTATAGAACACTAATGTGACATGGTAGTTTGACAGGTTATTTACGAAAAAAAAAATGGGTAGTTTCCTACTCATTCCTGACAGATTAATAAATTTAATACAGATTTAATAAAATATTTTATCTGAAGCAAAGTATTAGTTGGAAAAGATTTCCTTGACAGGTAAGAAATATTAAAAAAATAAATAAATATTACTTTACCAAAGTTTATATTTATTTTTCAATATCAAATATAATCACTATTTGGACCATTTCTAAATTCAGAGCTACAGACTTTTTTTTTCCTTCAGAACACAGATTTGTACTTAAGAAAATAAAAATCTTAATTAAGTTTTCATAATAAAGGTACTTGGTGGGATTGGGGAGTTGGAGAATGAATCTGTGTTAATGAATGTGAAGAAGATGAACATATCAATTGTCTAATGTAAATAGATATAAGTGATTTTTCTAATTGGAGAGAGTACGCTCCCTCATAACGGGAAAACTTGAAGAAAATAGAAAGCCATATATATTGCTTTGCTTTTTTTGTTTGTTTTTGCTTTAGAGTCTGATTAATCTAAGGTCATGTTTATTTATCCCAGTGTTCTCTTCTATTTTCCTATTAACCTCTTCTTGATCATAACTTTTTCCCCACCGTCACTTGCCACATTACAGTGGAATTTTGCTCAATACCTATCTGGGTAATGATTAATTCTAACTTAAACGGGTTACAATTTGCCGGAGTTTTACTCAAGTTTCTTTATTTTTGAAATACCATATTTTTCTCTCCCTAATTATGTGAGATAATGACTCCCCCTCTCATCTAAGGAAATAATGTGTATCCCAAGAGGGACTTGTATGTTTATTAGATGCACATATCTGGTCAATGAGCTAGGACTTGTGGACGCTTTGGTAGCGTTTTTTAAACTAGTATGTTGTACTTATTCTCAATGTCTTTGGAGGATCTGAACTACCAGAGACAGCTTTATTCACCTTTTATTCACTCCTCCCCCTTTTCTCTGCCAGCTTTCACGTAATTTGGATGAACTCTGTTTGGATCTTCATACTAATTGTTTTTACTGTCTAGTCAGAGACCATCGTGGCATCATATAGCAGTTAAATTGCTGTTGCTGCTCTTCTCACACCCCTGCATCTCCCTTCCCCATTTCCCAGGTTCAAGTGCATGCTTTTTCCAAACCCCATGCCCCGTCTCCTCCCAATAGTTGACATGGGAGCCACTTGCCACCTCCCTCTTTTTTAAGTTCCACAGTTTTCTGCCCCCTTTTCTCACCAAAGCCATGTTATTTAACAACTCTAAGCCTTGGCCCTTCCCTGTGCCTGCAGTGCCTTCCCCTCCACTCCCTTCTTCTCCATTGTCCCCATTTCGTGAACTACTGCTACGTCTCTTCAAGCCCCAGTTGCCATCTCATTTCTTTTCTGAGATTTTCTCAGTGTTCCCAGAAAATCAGTTGCTAGCTTCCCTACCTCCCCAGGTCCAGTGCCATGTTGTAGAAACCTGTTGCAGCAAGTATTTGTTACCTGGAATTCTCATGCTCACGGCAGCGATTTCTGCATAAGGAAATACTTCTGTCTGAATATCGCACACAAAGATATAAATAATACGACTTTACATTGACAAGGCAGATATAAGAAAAGAACTTTTTTGTCTTTGTTTTTAAAGACAGGATATGAAAATGAGACTTTAATGAGAAATCAGTTTTTAGTCACGCAGGAAAGGCAGGAGTTAGGAGTCTGGGGGAAAAGAGCTCCTCGAAGTATTTTTTACTGTGTATTTTTCTCGTTAAAAGAAAAGCAAATAAGAAAGAATCAAAGATAAAAAGCAGATTCATCAAAATGCAAGCAAAATACAGAGACAGAAAGGCAGCGAGAAAGATGTGTTTAAGAATTTTACACCAATGTCCTTTTTTCCGCCCCTCATCAAAAGCTTCTATAACGTTCTCTAACTGTTCTTACTTACCTAGAAACTATGAAGTACTGTGTTGTAATTTTAACAGTGAAAACAAAGGGAGAAAAGTGGTAGGAGAATTCAGAAGTGCTTCACAATTTTTCACAGTCCTTTTTGTGGACTGAAATGGGGCTCGTTGTTCCTGTGGGGAGGGGGGGAAAACAGTGTTCGGTGCTGTATGTTACTTACAGTATCACTGAAGCTCATCCTTGTATGGTTGTCATGAATCTGCTTGTGCTTCACAATGTCTTCCAGAATCCTCGGTCAGTAGCAGCTCCCCAGGGTCTGGCCCCAGCTCACCAAACAATGGGCCAACTGGAAACGTTACTGAAAATGACACCTCAGTTTTGCCCCCTACTCCTCATGCTGAGGTAAGACTCTTACTGTTTTGGTCCTTTTAAAAATTAGATCCTTGATTAGCCCTGTAAAACAAAGTGATATTTCTGAAGTGTAAAGCCGCTGGTTCTTAGTTATTTTTCTTATAAGCTTATCGTGTTTGGAATTGGATTAGACGTGATGTTATTTACCCAGTTTGGTTGACAGTTATGGTTCGGAAATAATGAAATGTAACCCTCGAAAAAAACCATTCTTAGTGATACTGAAGGTATGCTGCCCAGCTGTTGTACAGCTTGGCAGTGTTGTGTTTGGTTCTTGGTTATTCTGATGGGAGTAGACCCATACATAAGTAAAAACAACTTTGTGCAAACCTCTCGAAGAACAGCCTAGCAAAGTAGGTTTTACCCGTTTGCCCTGGAGAGTAATGAAAAAATAATTGAAGTATTATAGCTGAGGAACGTAGGGCTCTACTGAGCAAACATTTGCTGAGGACCTACTAAGTGCCAGTCATTTTGCCTAGCAATGGGAATGTAAAGATGAATAAGGCACGAACTGTGTTTCTGAAAAATGAAATAATTAAAGGAAATTGATCTGATTGTATGTAGTCAACCCTAAGAACATTTGTTTTTCAACACCTAATTTATTGAAACCAATGATACAAGAATAGAGGAAAATAAATTTGTGAGTCAACAAGAATTTTTGTATGTAGTTTTGGTATTAGGCTAAGCAAAGGCAACAGTTTGTAAGTAGCCATTCTCAGGGAATCCGCTGTTTTGAAGACACCATCAGTTGAAACTCTTGATTTTTCTTTTCTGTCATTGTAATTCCTCCTTACCACGAATTGCTCTATGCAGGGAAAGCTGGTATGATAACTTCTCATATATAACTGTAACATGCTTCTTCCCTTGTATTTGATACAGTTGTGGTAACTTAGGGTTGAAAGAGACTGATCAAATCTCTGCTTCTTGGATCACCTATATAGCTTTCCTGATGTGTAGTTATCAAACTTTCGCTACAACACTTCTACTTATAGGGCGCTCCCTTTGCTGTTTCCTGAGACAACTCAGTTGATTTTAGAGAGTTAGCTTGACAGAAATGTCTTCTGTACATAATGCTAATTATCTGTGTCTCTATAATTCCACACACACACTTATAATAAATTATTTCTAAATTGTAAAATTACCAGGCCAAAATATAACTGAAGGCAGAAAACCAGAGGTTATTTCTGGTAAGTAAAGAACTTAAAACAGTGGAGTCACTTTTGCTCTGAGGACATTTGTGTACTTCAGTTTTTTGGGTTTTTTTGTGTTTTGGGTTTTTTTTAAAGATTTTATTTATTTAGTTGACAGAGAAAGAGAGAGACAAAGACAGGGGGGAGCGGTAGAGGGAGAGGGAGAAGCAGGCTCCCCGCTGAGCAGGGAGCCCGACGCGGGGCTTGATCCCAGGACCCTGAGATCATGACCTGAGCCAAAGGCAGATGCTTACCGGACTGAGCCACTCAGGCACCCCTGTGTACTTCAGTTTTGAGTTTTGGTTTTCAGGGCCTCACAACACTCGAGATAGAAGGCGAAGCTCAGTACTGACCAAGGAGGATAATCTAACATGAAATTAAGCTGGAATTTCAAAAGCTCATGTCTACACTATGTTGGTGAGTCCCTCACCTTTACCCCCAGAAGTCCGGATGCAGACCAGAGCGGGGACAGGATTTCCCCTGAGAAGTTTTAACCAGAAGCTAGCTAGTCCTTGCATGGAGTTGTAGCCCAAATTTCCATAATTTCAAACTGTCATTTTGGTTTAAAGTGCCCCAGATTTGTTAGGGCCCCTCGGTGTCTGGAAAAGCAAATATAAATCCTCTCTAGAAGAATACACAAGCATTCTAGATTTCAAAAATTTCCTTCAATTTTCCAAGGAAAATGGGTAGAGGAGATAGACATTCTCTTGCTTATGATCAGCTTTCAGCTATTTGAAGAATAACAATTCAGGCCTCAACATTATCTCCAGGTCCTTCATCTATTTCTTATTTTTCACAGTCCTGCTGTCCCTCTTCCCTTCTTTATCATCCCTTCTAAAACATGATGCCAGATAGGATAAGTTCTTCACATATATTTGTGATCAGAAATGTAAGTGGGATTTTCAGATCGTTGGTTATAGATACTTTATTTCTGTTAGTGCAATTATATGTCAGTATTAGTCAGTTTTCTGTGACCCTTTAATCAGTTTCCAGAAAAAGAACAATTGGTCAGAGATGGTTTTAAAAACTTTAGATTTCCATTGCCTCTCAGTTTGAAGAATGATTCTTCAGTAATAGCAGAAACACTAAAGTAAAGGGTCTGCATTCTAAATCAGCTCTGGATGAATTTTGTGCCCTTGGAAAAAGAAATGACACAGTAAACTACATTCAACAGTATGTATGATTCTTAGAAATGCATTGTTAGTGCTAAAAGGTGCAAAAGACCACTTATAGTATATAATAATATTTTATTAGGTTCAGAAACAGCAGTACGGTATCTTGATCAGGAAAGCATAGGTAGGAAAAGTATATTTTACAAAGATTAAGGGTGTGATGAACACAAGATTTAGCATGATGGTTACCTCCCTGGAGGGAGCAAGGTGGGGAGGGTGGGGAGAGACATGGTTTGTTACTAAAGAGGAGGATACATATATTCTTTCATTATAAATACATATCTATGTATACAGTACTTAGTACAACATAGAAGAATAATCAAGAAATATATATTTGTGAGATTAGAAATAAATGGAAAAAAGTGAGATTTTTCTCTTTACTTCAAACTTTTTATGACCGGTTATATTGAATCTCCCAGATTATGAGACCTTATCTTTAAATTTCAAAATACATTGGAGAATGAAAATTAAAGGAATTATTTAATGTTGTTTCAATCTACTTTTTACTCCTAAAACCTTCACTGTCACAAATATCTGTTTAGAATGCCCTGCCTTTTCATCTACTTACTGAACATTCTGTTACTACAAACCTTTCCTTCCACCCCCACCAGCAAGAAGGAAAAAAAAAAACAAAAAAACAGAAGGAAATGTGATTTAATGGAGTTTGAAAGAGTCGAGGTATTTCTTCAGGTCAATGACAGGACATTCACCTCCAAAGCTGGAAAGACTAGTTCAAAAGCAAGCAGTGACTTACTTCATAATGAATTAATTGTGTGCCTGAACTATGATCCAAAAGGCCAGGTGGGCAGACCTCTATGCACTGATGGGTAGCCTCTCCATGGCCCAAAACAAAAAATTCAGCCCTGATGGCTAACATGTGGTTTTCTGCTGCATTGCATTTACAGAGGTCTGTAACGTAATTCTTACTGGAGAGCTAAAGAGACAGCAGAATTCAGACGGAAACTCAACAAATTAATATCCTCGCTCTTGTAACACAAAATGCTTGCACCTAAACCAGAAAAAGAGGAAAAGAAATATTTTCAGCCAGTTCTTGATTAGCAGTCATTTCGGATTTAGTATGATTTTTACAGACATCTTTCAAGATTAACAATAGTGTATAATTTCATATCAACAGAAATAGTTTTAAGGCGTGAAAAATATACATCCTCAACTATACTTTCAAAAGCCAAGCTAGCTGCACACTTCACCATTTACAAAATAGGCTTATTCTACCATCTTTGGTTAAACAGCAGAGGCGAATTTTCATTTTTAAATAGTTTAACAGTGTACATTTGTATGAACTCTTTATTCTGTGACCCTAAGTAGAAAAGCATGTCACCCAGTTCTTGCAGAGCCCATGTAAATGAATGGGATTCTACTCCCTTTTACTGCTTAGGGAAGAGGAAAGTGAGGCTGTATTTCAGGCTGATGTTGAGGCATAGGCAAAAAGAAGATTTTTAGCTTGTAATTCACGTGTCTTACATAATCTAGCTGGAGGTTAAGACAGAAGTAGGAGAATTTACTCCTAAGTCCGGAGAAGGAAACAGCACAGCGAATTCAGACGTATGGGTCTTCCATTTGCAAGGCTCCGCAGGAACCCAGCTCCAAAACCAACTACCTTGTCATCGTTGGTTAAGTCGCTAAACTTGTCCCTGACCTCAGATTCCTTATCTAGTGGAAGGTGGTCATGCCTCCTCCAACAGTGGTGTTGTGAGGAATCAGTGCTGGGAAGGCGGGTGGTGAAGTGTGAAGTGTGAAAGGAGTTCGTTTTTTGTTGCTGTTATCAATACTGACTCCTAGTAGGGAAAACTCATTAGCATGTTTGTCTTCGAGCCAGCAAATCACATGCGAGAGTGAGTCTCCATCTGCTCAGACCACTTCTGTTCCATTTCTTCTATTTCTTACATATGCTCAGTCCTGAACTCGGATTGTTGGAGCTACTTGTTTTCCTCATTTGTAAACTTGGTTGGGGAGCTGAAACCTCAGGAGTTTCTATTTCCACTCCAGTCAGAAATGTCTTTACCTATCTAGTTACTTTATTGTTAATACTGCGGGCCTGTGGGTTCAGATGTTTCCATGAATATCAACACCATTATTTTAGATTCCGTAGATTTATTTGATAGCTATGCCAACTGTAGCCAAGCAGCTGGTTTGTTTCTATTTGAACATTAGTGGCTGGCTCCGCTAGGCTATTTTTTAAATCATTTTTTTTCCAGCAGATACAAACGATTTTTTAAAAAGGATTCTAATAAAAGGCTAAGTGCTCTAAAATCATCTGAAATGTCACTTGTTTTGCCCCAATCTCACATGACTCATCTGCCTATTGTTTCATAATGGTTGTTGTGACATTTGCTGTAAATGTTATGCTCCCTTCTGAGTGGGTGTAGAGCTAGGGTTTTAGATGGCAGAAAATGAGATGCTTTCCCCCCATCTTTGGGGAGAAGAGGTTGCTATGACAGAAGAATCATTTAGGAGGAATAACATGAGTCAATATTGTAGAGCAAGACCTTTAGTGAAACCTTCAGCAGTGCCTTTTAAAATGCAAAGGAAGACCTGTCAAATGATAATTTCTTGCTCCAGATCATTTCACAGTAATACATTCTTGGATGTCCAGCAAAAATAAAAACTTAGA